ATGATTGTGAATTGCGGACAGGTTGCGGGTTTAACCCACACCCGCAACAACCCATCCGCACTTCGACCTTTTTTTTATTTTTTAAACCTGGACCGTTATTATTTTATTATTGCATTTTGGATGAATGTAAAAGTTAAGGAAGAATTACTTTTAAGTAAGTTTAGGATTTTGAATGATTTTATTTTAATTGTATTGTTGGGTAGTAGATAGTGAATGAGATTTATGATCTAGTTTATGATTTTGAAAGACGTGCTTGTGTTTGTTCATGATTTGATTTAAAAATTTAAGATTTTGAATGATTTGTTTGTGTTAGAAATTAATTTTGTTATGTTTTTAATTTTATAAGTTTTAATTCATTAATTATTAATATTTGAGCATTTTAGAAAATGGAAAAAAAAAAGGTCCAAAATAAATATTTACAAAATGGAAAGAAAAAAGGCTCCAAAATAAATTTTTAAAGAAAAAAGTCCAATCCGCAAATTGTCCGCACATCCGCAAACCCTATCTGTACAAACCGCAACCCGCACTGCGGGCTATTGTGGGTTGAATTTTTTCCAAACCGTATACATGCGAGCGGGTCCAAACTAGGGGTGCAACTCAGGCAGGTTCGATCGGGTTAGAAGGTTGTCCAAGCCTAGCCCAAGTTGTGCTAAGACTTGCCTAAGACCGCCCAAGCCCGAATTGTAACCCAGGGTTGTCTGCCCAAGCCCGACCCGAGTTGGCCGAGTTGTAGAGGAATTTCAATTTTTTTTTTTTTTGTAACACCACATTATTAAATTATTAAATTTTGATTTTATTTATAATTTTTTTTTAAATAGAAAATCATTAATACCATCAAAACAAATAATTTATATAATGTAAGAGATATGCCACTATAGTAGTCCTTACAATTTATGAGTGAAAATAAAAAGAAAAAAAATAAGATTTTATTTGTATATATAATATATATTCAATATGATTTAATAATATAAATTATTTTAATATCATGTAATGGCTAATAATTTATATGTATATTAAATATTTTTATAAATCTATATATGTATAATTCGGATTTCGGATTGTTCGGGTTGTTTGACGTTTTTGCCTAAACCCTCCCAAATTTAATTTGGATTTCTGAATTTTTGCCCAAACCCGTACCGAATTTGAAAATATTTTGTTCAAACCCTAAAAAAATTCGGGATGGGCTCGGATTGCTCGAGTTGAGCCCGCCCAAGTTGCACCCCTAGTCCAAATCGATCTGCAAACCGTCCAAAACTGAACCGCGACCACTCCTAATTAGCATTTATAATTTATTTTTTAATTTTTAGTTAGTTCAGATATTAGTCAAAAATAATTTTATAGACATTTAAAATCAATTATTCTTAAGATCATTAACTATTGAAATAAAATATAAAAAGTTTATTTTATAATAATTTAAAAATATAAAATGTATTAAATTATATTTAAAAATTAATTAAAATTTATTTTAAATCTTAATAAATATAATTTTGAAAAAAAATTGTACGTGTCAATAAAAAAAATTTCAAATTATATAAAAAAAATTTAAATTTACGATTTTAATTATCGCAACCATTACACTATATCTTTTGCACCCTGTAGCAAACATTACACTATGGCTTATTTTGGCAACATAGTTTTTAGTCACTTTTTTTGGTTAGTAACAAAAGCCAAAAGTTGACTTTTTTGGCTTTTTTTTCATTTGAAAAGTTGGTTTTTAGCCAACGGTAAAATTATAATTTTACCTCTCATGGGTTAAAATATGCTACATAGGTGAAGTTATAAATATTTTAAATAAATGGGGGTTGTTTAGTCATTTTATTATGATTTGACATCATAAACAAATATTAATCAAAAAAGTTAAAAGTCACTTTTTACCAACTTCCTAAATCATTTATCTAAAAAAATTAAAATTTAATTAAAAATCAAAAAACCACTTTTTACTATCTTCCAAAAATACGCCTATATCTTTCGCACCCTGCAAGTGCCACCATGCTACTGCAATCACTTTTTACGACCTTAACCTTAACTGTCTTAAATTTGGATTTGAACTTAAAATGAACCTAACTCTATTGAAATAATGAATAATCCAAATGTGAACGGAATAATGTTTGAAACAAAGAAAATGGATTGGTACGGAATTTTTAAAATTAAAAAGATAACAAAAATATATCGTTGTAAGATTGCCCAAAATGTGTAGGGCCTCGTACAGAGATAATGATGACTGACTGTTTGAAAAATAAAAAGAAAAAGGGCAAATTACATATACACCCCTCGAGGTTTGATTAAATTACAGATACCCCTGAGGTTTCAGAAATTACATCCCGCCCCCTGAGGTTTGTATTTTCATAACAATTTGCCCCCTGAGGTTTATACCAAATGTGAACGGAATAATGTTTGAAACAAAGAAAATGGATTGGTACGGAATTTTTAAAATTAAAAAGATAACAAAAATATATCGTTGTAAGATTGCCCAAAATGTGTAGGGCCTCGTACAGAGATAATGATGACTGACTGTTTGAAAAATAAAAAGAAAAATATTATTTATTATAAATTTTAAATTTTTTAGATATGAGATCCATAAAATTGCGACTTCACATTATATTGAGATATTTAGGTCAAATTTGACATCCTTAAGAAAATTTAAAAAGTCAAAAATTCTTTAAAAAAGTCAAAAAATTTATACTATTTACTTCTTTTGGCAATAAATTTGTGAATTAAAAAAAAAAAAACTAAAAACAAAAACAAAAACAAAAACAAAACAACGCTGCATTCAAAGTATGTAGCCACACATCCCAACAAATTAATCCAAGTGGCACAATTTTAGCCACACATGTCATATAAAAAAAAAAATTGAAAAGTAACAGATTAGGCACTGCGCTGTACTGTTGTGCATTGTCAGCGAGGGCAATTTCATAATTTTATAATTTTATATAATATTTTAATATATATTTTTTAGTAAAAAGTCAATAAATTAATCCAAACATCCATATTTTTTTCTCTACATTTTAGTTCAAAAGACAAAAAGAGCACTTATTTAAAACACCCCAAACAACTCCTTAATTATTTATTTATGCTGTATTTAATTAGAAAAATTTTTTAAAAAAAAGATAGCCGTAATAAGAATAAAATATAAATATATTTTATATAATTTCACACTTTTTTTTCTTTTTACTTTTCTTAAGTGTGCAACTTACACCTTACACTTACACATTTTGTGTTTGTTGTCCTGTTTGATGTTTACACCTTCCACTTACACCTTTTGTGTTGATTACATATGATGTGCAACCCTTAAAGTTGCACACCATAACAGGACCCAAAAAAAAATTACACACAAGATAATGATACATGAATAAAGTTGCTCATTCTTGTTGTACAAGTTGGTTGACGTCATGTCATACGCATACGCATGGGAATTCAAATCCAAATCGTCCTCCTCGATTGCTTTTATTAATGAAGAGTGATTCATTTCACTAATTTTTTTATCATTAATAATTTTATTGAGTTTTAAAAAAAAAAAAAACCAAATTCAAGTCAAAATATTACTCTCTCCGTCCCAAAATAATAGTCCCTTTTGGGGAATCTAACTTTTTTTGATAGTATAATTATTGCTTTTGAAAAAAAGTTAATTTTTCAAAATTATCCTTTTAATAGTACATTTTTTGAGAATATCAATGTCATAATTGTACTTTTTCTATTGTTTATTAATTTAAAAGAAGGACAAAATAGGAATTTTATATTAGTGAAATTTTGTATCTAAAATGAGATCTATTAGAATTAGGGCTGGTTTGGCATCACCAAAAAAATCTAAGAAGTCAAAAAGTTATTAAAAAAACAAAAAAATTCATACTATTTACCTCTTTTTTTGGCGAGAAATTTGTCAATTGAAAAAAAACAAAAAGCAAAAAAAGCAAAACAGTGCAGCACAAAATTGTGTAGCCACACATCCCAAGTCAATTAAAAACATGGCACACTTGTAGCCACATATCTCCCTAAAAATAAATAAATAAATAAAAATTGAAAAGAGACAGAAATTGTGCAGTGCAGTATTGCTGCTTGTGTCAGCGAGGGTAATTTCATAATTTTATAATTTTATATAATATTTTAATATATATTTTTTAATAAAAAGTCAAAAAATTAATCCAAACATCCATATTTTTTTCTCTACATTTTAGTTCAAAAGACAAAAAGAACATTTATTTAAGACACCCCAAACAACTCCTTAATTATTTATTTATGCTGTATTTAATTAGAAAAATTTTTTAAAAAAAAGATAGCCGTAATAAGAATAAAATATAAATATATTTTATATAATTTCACACTTTTTTTTCTTTTTACTTTTCTTAAGTGTGCAACTTACACCTTACACTTACACATTTTGTGTTTGTTGTCCTGTTTGATGTTTACACCTTCCACTTACACCTTTTGTGTTGATTACATATGATGTGCAACCCTTAAAGTTGCACACCATAACAGGACCCAAAAAAAAATTACACACAAGATAATGATACATGAATAAAGTTGCTCATTCTTGTTGTACAAGTTGGTTGACGTCATGTCATACGCATACGCATGGGAATTCAAATCCAAATCGTCCTCCTCGATTGCTTTTATTAATACATATACACCCCTCCAGGTTTAGTTAAATTACAGATACTCCTGAGGTTTCGGAAATTACATCCCGCTCCCTGAGGTTTGTATTTTCATAACAATTTACCCCCTGAGGTTTATATTTCATAACAAATTACCCCCTAATTTCTTATGCAAATATAGCATTCAGGGGGGAATTCGTAATTTCTCAAACCTCAGGGGTATCTGTAATTTTGTCAAACCTGGAGGGGTGTATATGTAATTTGCCCTTTTATTAATGAAGAGTGATTCATTTCACTAATTTTTTTATCATTAATAATTTTAATGAGTTTTAAAAAAAAAAAAAAACAAATTCAAGCCAAAATATTACATTATTTTAGTAAGGGCTATTGTATCACATTATTAGTGATACTCTAAAAGTCCTAATTTAACAATTTAATGCTCTGAAACATTATTCTTTATTTACCGGGCCGAGTGTCGCCGATTCTTTTTTCATTGCAAGACCAAACCCAACCCCACGAGGAGATCATTACCCGTAATCTCACTCACTCACTGCTCTTACACTTAATGGATCCCCCCAAAGGAACAATCGTCTTCTCCACCGTTGGCAGATCACAGTACGGATTTGATGTTTTCTCCGTCTCTATTCTCGACCACCACCGCCCCCCGGTCCAGCAACAAGAACACCGCCTCACCGATGGAGTCTCTGTTAATTTTAATGGTCAGTTCCTTGACGAAGACCAAACCCTCGTCTACGTCTCTGAGAGAACCGGATCTTCTCGAGTCTATTTAACCACTAAGTCTAAGTCTAAGTCTATGTCGGACCAGCAGCTACCCTCCCCACCTCAAAGCCTATTCCTCGACCGTCCTATTGTATCTGTATCAAACAAACGCCTCTATTTCGTCTCAGCTCACGAACCTCCCGCTGACGACAAACTCTTCAAAAGCTGGTCTGCTCTCTATTCAACCGGTCTCCATGACGAAATTGACAATAAGGAAATCCTCCGCCTCACCCCTTATGGCTCAGTTGACTATAGTCCCGCCATCTCTCCCTCCGGCAAGTTCATCGCCGTCGCATCCTACGGCTCTCGCCCCTGGGCTTGCCACGACTTTCATGACCTCCACACCGATATTGTCGTCTTCAGAGAATCTGACCCCACTAAGCGCACGGTTGTATGCGAACACGGTGGCTGGCCCACTTGGTCCGGCGACTCCACCATTTACTTCCACCGCCAAGCGGATGACGGATGGTGGAGCATTTTCAGACTCGATTTGCCCCTTGATGATTGTGACCTCTCCTCCGCCATGCCATTGCCAACCGCCCCTACCCGAGTCACCCCGCCGGGACTTCACTCCTTCACTCCGGCAGCTATGCATGACGGTAACCGAATCGCCTTAGCCACTCGACGGCGTGGTAAGAATTTCCGTCACATTGAGATTTTCGACTTGCACTCACAGAAATTTCACCCGGTAACAGAGTTACTAAACCCTAACCTCCACCATTACAATCCGTTTGTCTCGCCGGATTCTGGGTTTCTTGGTTATCACCGATTCCGAGGTGGTGGGGGCGGTGGTGGGGACTCAATAATTCCATGCCTCAGTTACATAATGTCTCCCGTAAAAAGACTCCGAATGTTGAGGCTCAATGGGAACTTCCCTTCCTTCTCTCCCGACGGTGATTTGATTGCATTCAATCCCGACTTTGATTCGAATTCCGGCTTAAAAATCGTTAAATCAGACGGTTCAAAAAGATGGACATTGTTCCAAGGCCGAACAGCGTTCTGCAACTCCTGGAGCACAACGGAGAAGAATGTGATTTTCACATCACTGGGACCGATCTTCGAATCAGTGAAAGCGACGGTCCAGATAGCACGGATCTCATTCGATCTAGCAAGCCTTGACGATAACCATCACGAAGCTGTCCCTGTCCCAGTCGATATAAAGATTCTCACTAGAGAAGATACAGGTAATAACGCGTTCCCGTCGTGCTCGCCGGACGGAAAGTTTGTGGTGTTCAGGTCAGGCCGTTCCGGGCATAAGAACCTGTACATAGTTGACGCCGTTAATGGGGAATTTGAGGAGGGCGGCATACGTCAATTGACGGAGGGGCCAGGGATTGATACGATGCCCAGCTGGTCACCGGACGGCAAACTGATAGCGTTTTCGTCGAATAAACACAACCCATACAGAGTAGACACGTTCAGCATATACGTCATCCATCCAGACGGCACGGGTCTCCGGAGAATCCACGTGGCGAGCGAGGTGGACAAGGAGAGGATCAACCACGTGTGCTTCAGTGCGGATGGGGACTGGCTTCTGTTCACGGCTAACTTAGGGGGAGTGACGGCGGAGCCGGTGTCGCTGCCCAACCAGTTCCAGCCCTACGGCGACCTGTACGCGGTGAGGTTGGACGGGAGTGGGTTGCGGAGGCTGACGTGTAATGGATACGAGAATGGCACGCCAGCATGGCACCCCAGGGCTGAACCGGATATCGATACCGACATCGATATGGGGCGTCTCACTCTGGGCTTGGGTTGTCAGGTTGGGGATGAGTTGAAGGGTCAATTCGAAGAACCCCTCTGGATCCATTGTGATTTCTAATTTCTCAAATTCCCCACCTACTGCTTTTTGGGTTAAATTATTGGGGATAAATTATATTGGAAAAATAAATCAACCCACTTCTTTTCTTCTTCTTTTTGAAATAAATATATTTCATATTTTGTTAATCCTTATTGATAAGAATTAATTTGAGTTATGTTTTCATGTTTACAAAGGTCAAGTTTGACATATATTAAGCTTCTATTTGGGAAGTGGGTTAGTTTTTTGGTTTTTTGACTTTTTTGACTTTTTTGACTATATGAGTCTGGGCTCAAAAGCTTAGTTTGGGAAGGGCTTTTGGCTTTTTAGTTTTTTTGATTTTTTTGTGAGAGAAGAGTGTAATGATTATGGGATTGGATGAGATGTTTTGTCTGTTGTGGCTCATGAGCCTATTCTGCCTTTTATGACTCATTGAGCCAAAAAAACCCAATGAGCCATTGCCAAACTAACCCTAAATAATATAAAAAGTTAAAAAGTTACTATCCTATTTAAGTCATATCATCTTATTTAAATCACATCACCTCTCTAACACATCACATTAATCTAACCCAAACCCAACCTATATAAGGCAATAAGTCAAAAAATGTATTTTTTTAGAATATCTCAAACCAACCCTAAATAATTACATATCTATCTATATATTATACTAGCATATCACTTGTATTATGTACGTAATAAAATAATATATTATTTAGTACTCGTTTGGTTTCTCTCTTGGGGTTAAAAAATCACAAAATGACAAAAAAAAGTAAAAAAATCACAAAAAGACAAAAAAATTTGTTATTTCAAAGCCAAAAAGTAAAAAAATCCAAACTAGAAAACCAAACAACCAAAAAGTTCCTAGGCTAAAATAGTCAAAAAAAAAATCAAAAAATCAACTAAAAAAATCATTACCAAACGACTTCTTATTATAAATACGATAATTATTTTATCGCATTTAAATGTAATTATCATATTTTTAATAAATAATTTATTATTTTATTATGTGCATAGCACGAGTAATATGTTAGTTTTGGCTATATAAATAGGAATATAAGATTCACTTTATTTAAGTGGAACAATTCACTGTTTTCTTCTTTGCTCGATGCATGATTATAAAATAAAAGTTAAATGGAAGCTAGTCAATTAAGATTTTCTAAATTATTTAAAAGTTAACAATTGTTTTGGCGGGAAGTTTATTTCGAATCAAGCAATCTTAACCGTTTAATATTTAATTAGTTCAATCTTTAATTTATTTCGAATCAAACAAATTTAACCAATATATTTTGATAAAATCGCAAAAATTATAATTGAACTAGCAAATCAGTCAAATCGAAAACGGTTCATCCTATCGGCTAGGTCAAAGGACCAACCAACTTATACAAAAATTAATTAATTAAAATTTTAAAATTTTATTTTAATTTGAAAATTTAAATTGTCTTGAACTGAAACATACACAACATTACAATATTAAGAGGTACTTACATGTAGGTCCTAATAAGTAGACTTATTGTCTAATAGGACCTATGGAAAAAATTTATCACAAAAAATGTCACTAATTATAAGTTTTAATGACAATTTATAAAAATCATGACAAAAAAAGTTATTAATTGTCAATTTTTAGTGACGTATGTAAAAAATTGTCACAAAAAAATTATTTTTAGCGACAATTTTATCAAGACTTATTTTCAATAGAACTTGATGGAAATTAAGTCTAACTATTATGACCTATTGGTAGTTTACCCTTAAATGGGAGCATAAGGGATTTCTAATCCACAAGACTCGTGGGAGTTCTAAGTTTTCAATCTAAATTTTATAATTTTTTGATTTTTAAAGTTAAAAAATATTCTATTGGCTAACTCTTATTCAAGTAAAAGTAAATAAATAAAAATTAATATACATTTATTTATGACTTTCAAATGGAAAGTATATTCATTATGAAAAAAATAAAAAAGTATATTAATCCATTTCAAATTTTTAATTTGAAGGTCACTAAATATGGAAAGCAATCAATAAATTTAAATTTAAAATTGACACAACATAAATTTAAAATTATAATAATCTATCCCATGGTTTATAAGTTTTAAATACAAATTTAAAATTATCATAATTAGCTCAGAATTTTTGTATTTAAGAGCAATAAGAGTGACATTGAGATTATTTATATATCTTACAAAAGGATACTTTTAAGAAGAGATATTATGAGAGTTTCAAAATGGGAATTTTTTTTTTAAGGTCCCTATTATTAAGATTTTATAACATAAAGGACATTTAATATTTTAATAATGTCTAAGGTCTGTCAAATTGATCCAGAGAAAATTCAACTTCACAGAGAAAATCTCACCAAAATTTCTCTGACCTTCCCTAGACTTTTCACTCTCCAGAGAAAATTTGGAAATTTCTCTGGCTTTTCCTTCTTTCCAGAGAAATTTTCTTTCACTGGCCTTCAAAGAAATTTCCCATTCTCTAGAAAAATTTTGGAAATTTCTCTAGCCTTCCCTTCTCTTTAGAGAAATTTTTCTTCTCTGGCCTTTAGAGAAATTTCCAACTCTCTATAGAAATTTGAAATTTCTCTAGCCTTTTCTTCTCTTTAAAGAAATTTCCCTTTTGCTAAACCCAGAGAAATTCACTCAAACTAGAGAAATTTCCCATCTCCAAACCCAGAGAAATTCCCCATTACAATCTTTTTTGGTTGAAAATCATAAATCTTAGACAAAATGTGATCCATGATTCATACATTGGCTGGGGTGTTACAAGATCTGTCAACAGTACATTGGGAAATTTAAAGAAACAGAAGCAGAAATTATAGCTGTAGAAATTATAAAACACAACATGCCCCCTGTCTATATCACTTCCCAAATCAATACATACACACATATATACACACACAAACATAATATACGTATACACGTATATGTAGTGACAGAGAGAAATTGATCGATTGTTGCGCGAAAAACCTAATACTTGTGACCTGGGATCGCTTTCGTGACGATCAACCTCCCCAAATCTCTGAACTTGCTAACGAAGCCGATGATGACGGATCTGGCTAGGGCTTTCAAGTCCATTGACGCCGACGACTCTGTTCGGGTCATCATACTGTCAGGTCTAGGCCGATCTTTCTGCTCCGGCGTTGACTTGACTTCCGCTGAGGACATCTCTCATCTCTCATAAATACAGGACCAAAATGAATCACTCAGTGGATGTGGCAATGAGTGAGAATAAGAGTGGAGGCAACGGTTCATGGTTGATCGAATTAGAGAGAGAGAGAGAGATTGATGAATAGAGGTTAGGTCAGTGAATCAGAGAGAGGAAAGAAGAAATTATTGGTTAAAAAGAGAAAGCGAGAGAGTGAATTTTCTCTAGGATATATAGGTATAGTGTCAAGGGACTTTAGACATTACAAAAAAATATTATGGATATCTTCTATTACAAAAATGGGAGAGGGGCCTTAAACTAATTTTTCCTTTCAAAATCTACTTACTATTATAATTGAAAAATGTTATTAAAGCTTAAAGTTGCAATTCTTTTCTTTCTTTTTTTATTTTGTTTAATTTTTATTAATATGTGTCACAATACGATTAGTTTATAAATTAAATTTATATTCTTAAAATAAAATTTTAAATTTAGATTTTTCCTTAAATTATGTTACCAGAATAAGATCAATATTCGCTTCTTAATTTATGCATCTTTTATTAAATTATAAAATTAAAATTCTTTTTTAAATTATGTTACTACAATTAGAATGTGATCAATATTTACATGTGTCATATGATGTGTCATAATATTATTGGTCTAAATATAATATGTTATTAAATACACGTAGTTAAATTATTAATTACTTTTTATTTATTTTTTGTTATTTTTGGTTATAAAATTTATAAAAAAATAAATAAATTATGTGCTTCTAAACTACAAGGACTTAAACAATAAATTTTTTTAATACAAATATTTTTTTTTTAACAAAATATAAAAATATTAAGAAAATGAATGACTTTTTTAACAATTGCCAAACATATAATGGATTCTATTAATTTTTTTTTAATATCATTTGTCAATTAAATAAATTAAAATAAAAATAAATTTTTTTGACTTAAATAGTTAAGAAGTGACTTTTGCTAAAATCAAATAGAAATAACAAAAGAAAATTTCTATTAAAAGTGACTGTTGATGAAACTTTTTTTTATAATAAAAAAATGGCAATTATATGTGATAATTTATTGATCCAGCAATTAATGCTATAGACCAACACTTTCACCTACAATGATGTGACAAGAGAGTTGGGTCCTATGTCATTAAGTATGGATTTGGGATGGCTGCTGTGCGGGGGTGCACAACAACTACCGTTGTGCAGCCAAATGGGCCCATTTCGATATCCAGTTTGATAATCCGAACCGTTCACATTTTAGAATACATAAAGCAGAACATACCTGTAAAAAATTAAGTTAATCGGATATCGTTTACCCTTTCATCCACTCACATTTCTATTCATTTTAATACTTTAAATCACAATTGTTATTTATTTTTATAGATACAAATATGAGTGGATGAAAGAGTAAACGATATTTGATTAACTTGGTTTTTTGCAAATGTGTTTTACTTGATGTATTCTAAAATGTGAACGATTCAGATTATCGAAATGGACCCCAAAATAGGTCCATTTAGCTGCACAACAATGGTTGTTGTGCACCCCCGCACAACAATCACCCAAAATCCCATTGAGTATATAGCAAAACAAGAATTGACACACATGATACAGCATCACTGTGGATATAACTGTGGGTGTTTTTTTGTGGGTCTCAAATATTTTTCTTATTATTCATATAGACTTTTTTAACACTTGTAAAATATGGTGGATTCTGTTAATTTTTTTTTTTTTTAAATCTCAGTTGTCAATTAAACAAACTAAAATAAAAAATAATTTTTTTGGGGCTCAAATTGCTAAAAAGTGAGTTTTCCTAAGGGAGCTTTTTTGATAAATCATTTTTCTAAGAGTTTTATTCCATTCAACCCATATTCTTTTTTACTATTCCATTAGGTCCTATTTTAGGTAAAAAGACCAAAATACCATTTTCATCTACTTATGTTCCATTTAGTCCACATTATTTTCTTATGTTTCAATAAGTCCTATGGGTGACATAATTACCAAAATACCCCTAATATAAATGTTCACATCCTATGGGTGACATAATTACC